AGTGTTGGACTGGGAGAGTCAGAATTGAATCAAAGCCAGTGAGGAATGGCGACGAGAACGTCTCTTCTGTAATCTTTATACCCATCTTTTATTGTAGATTAGCTTTCTCTTGGTATGTTTACTTCCCAGATGGGGAATGTGAACAAGAATGACCCTTTTATGGTTCACTGCTCAGTGTGATATAATCATTTATTATTCTACACACAAGTGAACACTAATCTGGATGGCAGCTGACTTTACCTGAGACTTTACAAAGATTTATCCAACAGATTTTATTATGTGGCTGGAATATTTTGCCAAAATATCTAATCTTCAACTGTAAAACAGGTTTTGATTGAAGGAAATCTCCCTCAGTTACAAAGGTTACTCCACTGTGGTGGAATGACATTTATGTACCAAGACCAAGCTCTGATTTCTTGTAATGGTAGTTATGTTATTGTATAGTATTTTACATAGATTTTATGTATATTTACTTACAACTTAATTTTTACATTTTCAAAATTTAGGAGCTTGTTGACAGTCCAAGAAAAACATGCAAAAAACATTATTTTATAATTATAGTGAGGAAATTTTGTTGAAGATAGCTAATTGTTTTAAATTAACTGTAAAAAGGCATCTTTCTTTGCATTTCATTCTTCCATCCAGATGGCCTCTCTGACACATGACCTTTGAGCTGTGAATTTTATTCTTGAAACAAAACTGCCACATTGATGGCCTTTCCTCTGTGCAGATGCATGTTGTCCTGCATTTTCCTCTTTGAAAGAAAGACAATGGACCATCTGCATGAGTCAGAAAGTTTTATCACTTTGGAAGATAAATGAAACATAATTTACTATAGAATCCACTCAACAGTCCTGCTCTATGTTTATATATGTATGTCATCTAGTAATATTGTTTTACATTCTTGACAAACATTGTACCCCTAATCTTTGCTCTCTGCTGGAAACTGGCAGCAGACCAGAGGAGATGTATGTCAAACCAGTCCATAATGTAGTGATTTGTGTGGGGTGGGTATTTCTTTTTCTATTTCTGGCAGCATTTTTGTACTGCTACATGCAGAATTTTTGCTTGTTTTCTGTTCAAAATCCAGAATCAAAGTCCACCACAAGTTACGCAGGTTGACATGCTGTGTGAAAGCAGTCACATTAATGCATGAATAATACATATAATATGGTAGCATCATTGATAACTGACTGCAACAAAATGTCAGTGGGATGAAGGTACAAACATGAAGCATTCTAATTATAACCTGACTGATACTGGATTTTCCATCTATTAATCCTATTTTTGGCATTTGGATACTATAAGTGTGAACACGTGCACATACATGTGTTCACTCAGCAAGTAGCCATGCATTCACAAGCTTCTCTATAATGAAATAATTTCCAGACTCATGGCTCTGCTTAAGTGTTTATTGTTCCACGTGTTCCGCTGCCCCACAGAAAGAACTTCAATCTGAGAATATGAAGGCCCACAACATCTGTGACCTGCTTCGTTCTCCGAACATCCGCTGGATCTCTGTCACGCTGTGGTTGGTCTGGTGAGTCCCTGCTGTCCCACCTGACCTCCACATTCAGTACAGTGACCCAACACGCAAAAATACACACACATCCTGACATGTACTGTGCAGACACTCTTACGCTTTTACAAACACATACATACACACACAGTTTCAGCCTGTTCATGCATCACCTTTGACCACATGTCAGCCCATTTCACTAATAACAAATAATGACCTGTCAGGTGCTGTGAAGCCTGCAACCAAGATCAAAATCAGGTTTTGTAACTGCACAGTATGCCTGTATTTTGCCTGTGCTCCCTTCCTCACTGAATCTGAAAACAGATGCAGTTTGATTTTTGTTTCATTTAGGAACAGGTTCTGTTTAGTCTTGCAGAAAAGTCGTGAGCCAATCATAACAGGTGGATAAGCTCTAAATTTAATATAATTTCTTCTACAATTGTAGGAATTACTAACTTTATCCAGTCATAAAAAGTTTCCTAGTTTTCTAATCCAATGTCTGTTAAACTAGTGTCATCACACAGAGCTACACAGGATAAGAAACATCTTCTAGTTTGATATTTATGCTTAAACATTATCCCCACAGGAACACTCTCACCATCGCCTACTTTGCCCTTTCCCTGAACACGTCAAACCTTCATGGCAACGCGTACTTCAACTGCTTCCTGTCAGCTCTGGTAGAGATGCCAGCTTACACTTTGTCATGGGTTATGTTTCGCTGGTGTTCCAGACGACTGAGTCTTTTCTTAACTCTCTTCATGGGAGGAGTGTTTCTACTCTTAATACAGCTCATACCAGGAGGTATGACACTTCAATGGGCAACTTTTAAAAACTAGATAAATATAGCATTGATTGCTGTTTGTTCATGTAAGATCATTAACAGTATATCATTATATATTATCTTGAAATGCAAAATGTTTACTTGTTAACATGCAGATATACCATTTAATTTGAGATATTCTTTATTCCCTCTAGACATGATTTATGTAGCCATAACACTCGAGATGATGGGGAAGTTTGCAGTGACGACAGCATTCGCAATCGTGTACGCATACACAGCAGAACTCTACCCAACCGTACTGAGGAATACTGCTGTGGGCGCCTGCTCTATGGCCTCCAGAATAGGCAGCATCATTGCCCCCTACTTCATTTACTTGAGTAAGGATGTTGTTACCTCTGCTAAAAGTACAGAAAGTTCACTCCTCTTAATGAGCTGTCTGTTGTGGGATGAGTGCGAGCTTGCTATAGGAGCATCCTAAATATACAGTTCTTTTTACTTATACCCACATTTCTTTCTCTGTTTTGATCGCCCTGTTCGCTAATGCGGTGGAAAGCTGAGAAAAGCTGTTTATCTCCCAACTGACTTGCACTAACGAAACGAGAGGCTAACAAGAAGCTGGTGCCTCTACAGAAACAAAAACAAGAACAAAACTCACCAGAACAAAAACATAAAAGCAGACTTGATTTGCAGTCAGATCAGATAGATCAGTCTGCTGAAAATCCCAAAGCTTTCACTTAAAATTTAAAGTGTCTTTTAAGATTTAGTGGATTGGATTTCAGCTACTACACATCAAACTTCTTTAAGTCTCTCCAACTTTTCTTAACTGCTCCTCGGTACCATTGTAACCAAGGTTGTTTTTCACCGTCTTGTCCTCCTTTGATGTGTTGCCACAGGAAGCTATTCCGTTTCACTGCCTTACATCCTCATGGGAAGCCTTACAGCTATGTCAGGGTTGCTGAGTCTCCTGCTGCCTGAGAGCTATGGAATGCCTCTACCCGACACCATCACTCACATGCAACACTTCCCCGGGTAAGACTACAACCTCCCTGTCATGGTGTCTCTTAGAGACCAGCATTATTATGGATTTAGATTGATCATCAGTTTATATTTTTGTACAGTTGTCAATTTTTATGTTGATTTGAGCATAGTTTCAGTAAGTTTGTCTGTGTTTGAGACAGTACTGTATCCAGTTTTTATTTAAAATTTAATATATTTAAAGTTACACACCTAGTTTTTTACCTAGTTGATGGAAAACCCCCATGCACCTCAGAAGTCACTTTATATGTAAAAGTTATGCAGGATATAACAGATGCTATGACTTTTTTGCACTCATACTCAAATCTGGTTATTTTGTTGTTCAGGTGCCAAATGATTAACTTTACTTTCTTTGACTGTTTTGCAATCCAGTTCAAACTGGATAGAATTTAAACTGTAAAAAGATGAGAGATTGAAGCCGCTCAATAAGTAACTACTGGCAGTTCATGTGCTCTCCAAGATGTACACTCATCTGCAATCAGGTTTTTACATAAGTCATACACCCACCACAGCCACAATTACGTGTAACCAGATGGCAAATAACACACTAAAACCAAAATTTGACACACAAAACATTTTTGGAAATATGCTTCTTCGCTTTTTTGTCTAGATCGATACCACTTTGGTATTGAGATCAGTTTTGATCTTCTCATCCAACTTTCCACCAGAAAGTGAATACACGTATTTCCCAAAATGCTGAACTGTTCCTTTAAACAGATTATAGTGTATTCAATCCTCAGTGGTATTAAAAATACAGAGTGAGCACCACAAGCATATACTGTCAGTGGTCAGGAAAATTTGAGCAAAACTGAGTTCAGCTTCCCGCCAAATTCACCTACATTAAGTTTATAAACAGGCTTGGACAACACTTTTCTGTATTCTGTGAATCATGACTGTAACTGTATCACTGTGTTGTTTTACTCTAGATGTTGTCGGAAGACACCTTACACACTCACACACACTGAGGAAAAGGAAAACAATGCTGAAAGGAACGAGGAGAAGCACTGATATCCGGCTTGAAGCAAATAACTGGACAAACATCATGTCTCTGTCCGTGTTGGACCACGGAACATGACACTTATTCAAACTATATAATGGTACCTTGAGAAATGTTTTTTTTCTATGAAAGCATCAAAATACTATGAAATGAAAAGTGTCATAATCTTCCGTGCATTATGCATGTTCAGCACCAATGCAGTTTTTACCATACTCACATATTACGGCTGTTCACTGATGCAAATGATGAAAATAGGCTCGGTAAATATACATAAAAGGTTTGTAATATTCTGATGTCAATGTAATCACAACTAGAAGCCACATTTAAGGTTTTATGGTACAACTGCACCTTTAGCTTCACATTTAACACTTTAATTTTTCATTTTTTCACAGTGGCTTGTGAATATTTTGTATACATCTTTCTTTCCAGAACAATTTAATTTACTCCAAAATAATGATATATGTTCAAGCACATAAGTATAAGCAAATAAGTCAAGCTTCATGTAATGTAGCCTAAATTGTAGTCATTGACATTTTCTGATAGGAATTTTAAATTATAAGAACAGTAAATAGTAGGAATTATGACTTAAAAAACTCCTTTGTCTTCTTCTCTGGTGTAGTAGTCAGGGAAAAAGCAACAATGCAGCAAGGGAGGACTCGCACACAAAGAACAAAAAATATTAAGTTTTATTTTAAATATTTCTATTAAATACATTACAGGGCTGCAAAAAATAAATGTGTGCAAACTTTTCACTCAATGTTGGATTTTCCTTGAAGTGTGAAGTATGCATAATGAGTCACCATATGTATGGGTTACTTCACGGGGGCACCTGGTCAATGATCTAGGACTTTCTCAAACACACATGAAGTCAATTGGCAGCAGGTCATTACAAACCTATTACAATAATATAGATCCACAGCATTAACACATTCTCATGCAACTACTTATCAAACTCACAGACAAAAATTGTTTGACATTTTTCAAGCTATCATTCTGAATTGAATTGATTTTCGAAATGAATGTAGGGGCACTTCCCAGGGACTTGCTGTAGGGACAAAAGACGAACAAACTTTTGGTTTAGTGTGCTAAAAAACTAAGATGTTTGAAAATGTTTTCACTCCTTTCATCTCCTGTCAGAGTGATGATGATGACTGTTTTTGGTGGTTATATTAAAAGAATTATCTGCAAGATTTACTTATCATTGTAGGTCTGGGTGTGTAATTCCTCATGCAAAGAAAGATAACTGACATAAAATGGGCTTAAATCAGGAACAAAACCACGACAGGATGTCCGTCTACATGAGGACTAACACACAACCTAAACAACACATAAGGAACACATATATATACAGCTTCATGACTCCTACAGTATTTTTCAACTTAAACTATCACTAAATAGATCACCTTTTTTCCAGCAGTGATCCCAATACTAGAGTATGTTATACCATATGAAGTATTTAAAACTTTAATCCACAATTGACCTTTGTGTTTAAATGTAGAATGAAGAATGTGATTTATTTTGGCTTGGTTGTCTTTTGGAATTGCTGAGGTGAAACGTTTATGAGAACAAGGTTCCAAAACAGGAACACTTAATTACCTCTATTGTGATGTTGCTATATGGTTAACCACCGAAATTAGGGTGTAGTGTCATCATAATCGTTCGTAAACCCTATCTGTGCCACCCACGGTCTTTAGGTGCTACAACAAAAGAAGATGACTACAAAGAAAATAATCTGCCTTCACCTCACCTGCCACCTAGCCTCGCCCTGTACTAGAAAAAACATGAATGCCAAAACATAATTTAAAAGGGGGTGTACCTTCCTCAAGCAATTCTTCACACCCAGGACTCATGTGAACTGAGAATCGGGCCAATATTATAGCTACAGTATTAAGCCATAGCTGGCATGGATGCAATGTGTCAATAGTAGTGACCTTTATACCAGTCACAATAGTAAAATATGTGTCCAGACAAATGCCTAAAAAATAACTTGAGCTGCTGTACACACCCTAGCAAAGCTTTTGTGCCATATCCAGTCTGAAAAAACTTGCTTGAACTTGTGTTCTACAACAAACATGAACCTTTCAACCTCCACCTGACTACTGGAACATTTATTAACAGTCAACTCCTGAGAATTTTGTGTTGTTTTCCATTAAAAGATAACAAACCTGTAGCTTGTAACTAAAATACATCTTGTAACATGGTTATGGAGATGTAAGATTTGTCTGACATTTAAACCTTTATTAACAGCTTTTAATTAATATTTTGTGTTAATGACTTCAAAATAGCCACATGTAGAACTCAACTCCATGTTTTAATTATATTATTTCAATTCCACATTCGTTTTCAAAAGCATAAAAAAGGAAAACTCAAGGTTCTTGATGAATAACCTACTACACTTTAAAAAACTTAAGTTCAAATATTAACAAATGTAAACCATGATACTCAATAGCAATATCATCATATGACCTACATCAGTAAAGCACTAGATAATCATAGTGGACTGTCCAGGTGTGACACTGGTATTGGGGTTTCTTTTCCAGTGATGCATGGAAACTGTAATCTGTTATAAGGAGAAAGGACAAAGAAATTATTTTTCTTGTTGGTTGTAGTTGTATGTATAGAATACAGGGCAACTAAGAAGAGAAAAATGTATAAATATTTATTCGCTGCTCTCTACTTCTTTATCATTAAACAAGCAGCTGCTTTCACTACTGTGGCTGGTTTCATTACCACATACATTTGTTTTGTACATAATTTAGTGGAACGAAACAGACTATTACTTAACTACTTAAATATAATGACAGTCTTAAGATAATCCTTCAACCAATTTTTTCACGCCACCAGGGGGCAGCGGAACCAAGTTGTGAATGCAACAGACACATTCAAACATTTTCAACTGATGTGGTGAACTTGATTAGCTTATTAACTGTTAACTGTTGCTTATTTACACATATCATTTATTTTGGAGTCGTCTTTCTGGCCACCTGAAGAGTGTGAGTTTTTGGTCCCTATCAACTCCTGGGGGAAATATCAAGCTCTTTAGCAGCTAAATGCTCCACATGTTCACCAGCTTGTCGCTGACTTTGGTGCCATTTGGTGATGAGCAGGTGGAGTACAGTCCGTTTATAGAGCTTTTCTGCTGAAAAAAGCTGGCTGCTGCGACTGAAACAACACTATGAGAACTGTAAGAGTCTGTAGGTTTATCACGAGTGACTCCTTCCACATGTTGTCACATTGTCATATGATATATTGTTATTATGACAATATTGATTATAGCCATTTTAACATAAGGAGCCTGGAGTGTACCATTGAAAATAAATTCAAACTCTAAATTGAAAAATTTTAGTCAATTCAATTTGCATGTATTCTGTACAAGTAAGTTAAAAAGTTAGTTAGCAAAAAACATGATGACAATTAAAAGTGCCAAATTCCAAAAAGTATCTGTTTACAGGGTTTTCAGTTTTATATGTCTTCTTATCTTATTCAATCACCAAATTAATTTGTCAACTTCACTCTCTTTAAAGATATGTAACTAGAGGGACACACTAAAAATTATATAAAGTCTATGACGCAGATTTATTTCTACCGTGCTTTGATATTTATTTTCTACTGTGAATATTGAACTCCTACTGTACATGTATAATTGCACATAGTGTATAATCAGATTCACTAATAAGCTAATTAATAACATTGTTGCAACGGCCCCACTCAAAGTTATAAATGGTACAGCCGGACACAAATAAAATGATGAAATGAATTTGGGATACTGCATAATAGGAACAAATTCAGCAGTATAACAGAAAGTAAAGTATTTGGCGCAGGAGCAGCTTCATAAAAAGGTGCATTTCTCTTAAATAGCTTACCCTTCTCTTTGATGCATCTGTTGTATAGTTTCAGGTAGAGGTCGTCCAAAACTCTCCGGGAGGTAGAGAGTGGCAAAGGCAGCCACAACAGCCAGAGTCCCCAATGTAATGTAAGGAAGATACTTAAAGTATACACCTAGAAAAGGAGAAGGGGAAGTTTGGATAGGTCAGCATCAGTGCGTATGCTTAATTAATAAAAATAAAAACTAATGGTAATAATTACTGTCAAAACCCAGTTTACTCACTCAGCTTTAACAAAAAGGGTGTAATGCAGCTTCCCACTCTGGAAACTGTGGTGCATGTTCCTGTTGCTGTGTTCCTGAGCACTGTAGGGTAAAGCTCTGATGTGTAGGCAAACATCAGGGAGGTACCAGTGGTAATAGCATATTTACCCAACATCTCCAGTGCAACAGATATAATTGACAGATCTAAAGAATAAGGAAAGCGCTTGTTTTTTTTAACTTAATACAACAGAATAGAAACACATACACACTCTGATTGAGTCTGTAGCACTTGATTAACACATATTCACTGTTTGAGTATGTATCATGCAGCCACTTTCTCCTCCAGGAACACTTTATGCAATCAGGTTACAAAACACATGCTTAAGTAATGTAAACTAATGGCTGACTCGTGGTGATTTAATGCATGAATTAATGCAGGACATATAATTTATTCCTGTTGCTTACTATTAAGAAATGATCAAGTCACTAAGAGTTTATATGATCAGTTATTCCCTAATCGTAAAATCGGATAATGTCTCTGGATTTCACCGCATGGACCATCACTTTCCATCAAGAATAATTCTGAATAAAGGCCCAGGCGTTCAACAGGGAAATGAGGGGCTGGGATGCAGAGATGTGCCCGTTTGAATTAGTTAATTTAAGGCAAAAAAGTCTCAGTCTTTAGTTAATATGAGTGTATTTTCTTCCTGCTTACGTTGAGGCACCAGTTGAATTAAGAACAGTGACACTGCTCCAAGAAGCAAGGTACAGATGACAGACAGTCGTCGTGGAAGGTATCGCAGAGCCAGCCAGCTGGAAATGTACGCTGGTATCTCGACAGCTGCTGAGATGAAACAACTGATGTAGGGGTCAGCATGGAGTTGAGATGTGTTGAAGGACAGACTGTAGTACCCAGTAGTCAAAGTGAAACTGGGTAAGACAAAGATGACAAAGATAATGATGAAAAAACGGAATACATGAAAAGTATTGATTGATGCCACCAATACTATGTGGTGGCAAATTATAACCATTAGACCCAAGCTCTTCACTCCTAACATAGACAAGAACTGTACATGTATACATATTATTATGAATCTCACTGAGACTTCATGGTGAGCAATACATTCACACACTCACCTCACCAAGCAGAGAATGAGCGTTGTGCTTCTGATGCTGCTCTTCCTCACCAGGTCGAAGATACTGTGGTGTTCTTTAGACTCTGTCTTTTTAACCTGCAAGATAGATATAAAATCTCAAGTCTCAGCCTTGTGTGGTGGAAGTGATTTTCAGACACAAATACAAATGTGTCTATAATATCCTGATGCTAGATGATGTTCTCTCATGATGTTTTGAGAGAACTTGACATGGTTTATAAAATAGCAAATTTATTGGCTCAACATACTATATGTCCTAAAATACCTGACTGAGAATGTGTTTTGTATCTATATAAATCTAATTTCATTTTTGTTTAAAATATACTAACTGTTTAACGTGAGATCAAATTACATAGGTTAATTAGATGTGTGTAGAATTTGCTTTTGAAATGACTAGACTGATTCAAATAACCTCTAGTGGGTCCTGGCTGTTTTGTTGACACCCAATGCAACACACCTGAAAGCGATAAGATAATTGTTTTGTAGTGAGTGCAAACAAGGTGCAGGATTTACAGAATTAAAGTTCCCCCAGGATTAGGTTCATTTATTTATTTTTCAAATAACATTTCTTGTTGATTAAATTTTTTTTTTTACGTTTACCTCAAAATGGGCAAGAAGGGAATGTCAAAGGAATCATCTCCTTCATACATTTCTAGTTTTCAGTGTTAACTATAAATTTATGTCCGAGACGTTTTTAAGACTGTTGAGTGTCTTCAGCTCCTGTTTGTAGCCCTGCATGATTTATGTCAAAGTCAACTTACACTGTAATCTTTAAAGATGACCCTCGGAGCCTGAACTTTGTTCCACTTAGAGGCCTTTCTCACTATGGCCTCTGCCTCCTCCACTCTTCCCTGAGAGAGCAACCACCGAGGAGACTCTGGGATGAACCTGCCTCAGTACACAACAGACAGAGAGGTGCAGTGTGGATCAAGGATAGCTTCATTTTCCCTGAAGGGCAATTTGTTGCACAGGCAGCAATAACTGTATAACCAAATAACCACCAGACAAGAGTAAATCAGTCATTAATCATGATCAAAATGCACCTTTTTCAAAATGGCAGGTCTAAAATCATATAATCAAGTCTTACCATCTGAATGCAGATTACAGGGCCATATAATCATCCTAGACTTTAGTTTAACACTTGTATTGGTAGGCATTTTCTGTCTTGTCTGTGGTTTCAACTGGTGTTTAACTTGAAATTGAGTTTTAAGCAACACTGAGAGGCCAATTATTTAGTCAGTCTGCAAATCAGCTTTAAGATTTTTTTTATTACCATAAATACCGACCGAAATGCACAAAACTCTCCCATTGTAAGAGACAAAAAACAAAATAAAACTGGTAATTCATGGTAAGCTTTCTTGTAGTGAATGCAACCTACCACCAGAGGGGGAGGTAGGCCAGGCCAGGCACAGACAAAGCCAACAGAAGAGATTTCCAATCCCTTAAAAAGTAAGCGAAGAGAGGCAGCATCATGTAGCCAACAACAAAGCCTAAACATGTGCCCATAGATGAGTAAAGGACTCTTACATTGCTAGTCAAGATCTCCGCGCCTGCACACAGAGATAAAGAAAATACAAAGGAAGGGACAAATGAACAAGTAAAAAGCAAGGAGATATGTACAGAATGTTTTTAAACAAATTAAATTATCTGTATCCACATATATTCAAAATCTGACAAATGTGTGAAAGTATTGTGGCAGTATTTATAGAATGTTCATATGTACCCAGCACTAAAGCAGCTACAAAGTTGGACATCTGTCCCAAACCATTGATGAAGAGGAGGATGGTGAACATAATCCACGAAACAGAGAAGACTTGAATAAAGGTAAAAACCGTTTGAACTGCCATGGTTGCAAAAAGAACAGGTTTCCTTCCAAATCTATTAAGAGAAAATAAAATTAGACATAAATCATCACCAAAGTACATTTAATGAACACAAAGGGCAATTGTTTTTCTTCTACACAACTGGCAAATGTGCTCAACAAAATATATTAAATGCGCTTTAAAATTATTTGGATAAAAATGTCAAATGTTATACGGTATTCCAAGGCTAAATATAGTATAATCACATGCCCATGTAGCAGCCAATACTGAAGTAACTACTGTTAATTTAGTAACTGACAATAATGTAATCGTTTTTCTATTCTTAATATAACAAAAGTCATTAATGTAATAACTGTCAAAAAATTTTTTTAAAGTTATTATTATTCAAGATAAAGTTATTACATAATTTGCCTGGTAAAAACATAAAAATTCATAACTAACTGGAGCCGACAAAGTAACAATATCCTCATACATTTTATGTTAACAACCTGACTCCTGAAAGGTTATATGATAATGTATGACCAAATCAGAATCCTTGCCTTATTTACATCCCTGGCTATTTGAATACAGTCTAGAACTGGAGCAAATAATGAAAACACAATAAATTATATTTTCACGTTATCATACACTAATGAAAACATATTTAGGAATATTACATTCCATGTCTGACAATATACCCTTTTAAATCTTATACACTGGTCCTTTCAGAGGTTCAAAGTTGCCAGATAATATGGCCGGTTTGGTTGAAGAACTTATTACACTTTATTTTATAAATATATACAATTATTTTTTTCATGGAAATAAGTGGCGGTCTTTTTTTATTTGAATACACAGCATCTTGAAGGAGCTATAGATGACATATTATACAATACAAGAGTAGGTTAATTGTCTGTGTTTGCATACATGCGTGCTCCCTCTTCATTTGGTACTCAAATGGCTAAGGGGTAGAAGGCAGAGACGGAGAAGTAACACAAACAAATAGTCTTGATTTGTAGAGAGAGAGAGAGAGAGAGAGAGAGAGAGAGAGAGAGAGAGAGAGAGAGAGAGAGAGAGAGAGAGATGAGGTATCATATAGCACTGACAAAAATGCAACACAGCACCACTTAATGTTATATTACATAATACAGCACTGCATTGTAACCTCACATTGGAATAGGTCTGTACAAGATCTAGAAAGCAACTGGCAAAGCAACACAAAGCCACAAAACCAGTTTCTTTCTTTTTATTACAACTGTGTAATTTAATGCTTACATCGCCACAAAAGGATAACTGTCATCTTGTCATGGCCTTCACCATTGTCAAGTCTACAGTTTCTCTCTCTGCAGATCCTCACCAGCTGCCACTCAGTTCCTGCTTACTCTGTCTGTGTTTCAAGCCACTCTACTTTTCTCATTTCCTGTAACCTTCATTAAGTGAAAAGTAGTGAAAGTTCAGGCAGGAGGACCATTCTTTTGCATATAGGGTATAGTTAATTTCTCATTTATAGTTAATCACTCCTCTCACGCATCCCCATGCATAATGTCTTTGCTGTCATTATCAGGGGCCTTCAATTGTGATACCAACTGTTCTCATCAGCTCGTCACATCTATCCAATAGCACAGTGACACACCGTCATTGTTAGCCTATCATCTTGCTGCTGTATTTCTAAATATGATTCTCTCACTCTGCCTTCAGTTCATTTATGCTGCTGTTATGCACCCCCTCCTCCATTACGTATTTCGTAACCTTTAACTCCAGTCTCTTTGCCTCTCTGTGTCTCACACTTGGGTTCACTAGGTCAGCTATAACACCTGTTCTTCATCTGTTCCATTCCTGACATTATTCTTATGAGGATAAGTGAAGCCTCTTTTTGTTTTGTTATTATGCCATAGGTGTCAATGAACGAGGTACAGCAACACCTCTGAAATTAGTGGTTTAGTGTCCGGAACTACTGTACAGTACAAAAGGGTAAAAACACTGCATGTATTGTATATACTGTATATCACTACCTGTCTGATAGCTGTCCTGAGAAGAAGGATCCAAAAAGCACTCCCAGGAAGAAAACTGTGGAGGTCAGTGGCTGCTTCCACTGCTCACTGCACACCAGGTCAAACTGGAAGAGTTACATTACTAATTAAACATACTAAATATGGGTTATACACTTACTTCTTCATCTGTGGTACTGTATTTGAACCTTTGTGTTTCCTTGTTGTTGACTGTCCTTACCTATGATGATGTGTTAGCAGATGTTAGCATCGTATTACAGATGTAAGAACATTTCGTTACACAAAAACCGGCGGAACTTGTTTTTTTTGTTGCATAACTTACATACGGCATATAAAACACACTGGAGTTACATTCGAAAGCAAACCATTAAAAAGACAAGTTGGAGCAACTCATGAATGCAAAGTATAATGATAATTAAAGGTTTGTTGTGTAACATTTAAGAGGATCTACTGGCAGAAATTTGACATCATATTCATAGGTATGTTTTTATTAGTCTATAATCACCTACTGAGCGGTTTGTCATCTGCAACTATACTGCTAAATGCCACTAAATCCCACACACTGGTCCTTTGAACATAAAGCTATAACAATGCTTACATTTGCTTGTGAAGGGATTCTTCTCATAGGTACAATAATGGGCAAGCATCGGCAGGTGTAGTGACTGACTCTAGGTGTGTTCACAGTGCTGTTTCTGGTGTACTCGTATGATGTAGGTATTATTGGATCATAGGAAATGGGTCACTCACTTGACAATGAAATAATTACTGAACAACAGATGCATACATACAATAAATACAATAGACACATTCAAATGCTGTAGAGGGAACAGACTGAGGAAGAAGAAGAGGGAGACTAAGAAAAGACTGACAGTAACATGAGCTCATTCACATTCTTAGGCACACAAACACACACATGTAAACACACACTACCTCTGAGACTATAGTGGACTGGTAGATGTCTCTGCTGTAGCTCCACCCGTCCACACAGCCCTCCTGCTCCAGGTCTGTGAGGTTGACATCTCTGCCAGGAATGAGTCCCTGAGCAGAGAGATTCCTGACCACATCTAGCCTGTATCTGCTGCATCTGCTCAGCTCCTGTTCCCCATTCACCACCTCACAGTCACAATGACACAAACCTTATTGGTAACATTTCTGTGGCAGATGCCCTATACCTGTATTGTGTATAGCGCTGACAACTATGTACTAAATGTTGCCATATTGCTTTAACAGCCTCTGTATGAGTTGACTTATACTGCAGATGCAGAAACAAATACATAAGTGAAAAAGTTCAATAAGCATGGTCTTAATAAGGCACATTTTCTTTCATTTGGCCTTCCCTTTTTTTTCCGTCCCGTGAAAGCAGCTGTGCCAGTCTCACCTTTACCGGTATGATGCTTTTAAGCCAGTCGTCGGTCAGGTTGACGTCAGGGACAACGCAGTGGTGATTCGGTATGTCTGCCAGGAAAACAAGGGTGAAGGCACCAAATCCATTGGGCACGATGCTGGCACAGAGCAGGAAGAAGACGACTTGCTGGAAGCGACCCCACTGACCCAGAAAAGCGATGGCGCCAGCATAATCCGTCATAGTCAAATTATTACTTTTACTTTTCTATTCCTCATCCGTGTCCTTCAAAGTCACATATCCTGCACCATCATCAGAGCTGAACAAAGCTGTAGTTACGTTGCGACATGCCTCCCGAGCCCGCATGCAACCCGGCCAGGTAAGAAAACCAACTGCAGGGGCGGATCTAAATATTTATGCATGGAAAAGCTGCAATGGAGATATTTTAACACACATTTCGTGTTGCCAATGATCTAAGATATTCAGGAATGCTGATTTAACAGGATTTTTTCTTTGACCTTCAATTTGATAACGTGGTTCCTATTGTTTCCAAAAGTAGAAATGAGAGCCAGAGACTTCAGGTGCCAAGTTCCTATCCTGTGGAGCCAGCTTCCAGTCTCAGTTCAGGAGGCAGAAACCCCTCTGCATATTTAAGAGTAGGCTTAAGACGTTCCTCTTTGGTAAAGTTTATAGTTAGGGCTGGATCAGCATAATCCGTCATAGATTTTGTACAGTGTAAGCAGAGCTGATCAAAGCTGTAGTTATGTTGCAACAAGCCCGCCTGCCAACGAGTCAGGTATGACAAAAAAAACAAACCGACGGTAGGGGCGGATCTAAGTATTCATAAGGTGGCATGGAAACTTTAAGGGATGGGAGAAATACACATATGCATATTTAATCACATACATTGCATGGTAAAGTTGCCATGGATATATTTTAACTTAAAAACATTACATTATTGTGGCACATGAGAAAGGGATTCAACAGAAATATCTAAAGGTGGTATCTGAAATTGTTTTATTTCCAAATCGTCATTATTTTTTCCAAATACATGTCTTTTTGTTTTTGCCTTTTTCATTTAAAACAAGCCCATTGCTTTGCCTAAAATGTAGGCACTTACTGTGTTTTAACCTCCTGCATGCCACTCAGGTTTCCTGACATTCCTGAAATAAGATTAAAACTGTAGATACCAATGCAAGTCTTCTTTTCTCCAGGAGAGTAAAGTCAGCAGGCTCTTTAAGACACAGAACCCCTGCAAAGCAGCCGGACCAGTTCTGTCTCTCCGTCCAGCCTGAAGTACTGTGCTGATCAGCTATCTCCAGTGTTCACTGACATCTTCAACACCTCACTGGAGACATGTAATTTGCCAGCCTGCTTCACAGCATCCACCATAATCCCCATCCCCATCCCCAAAAAGCCAAGGACCACAGGACTCACTGACCTGTCGCCCTGCCCACTGTGGTCATGAAGTCGTTTGAGTGCTTTGTGCCTTCCCACCTCAAAACCATAACTGACCCACTCCTGGGTCCCCTGCAGTTGGCCTACAGAGCCAACAGGTCAGTAAACAAGGCTCTACACTTCATCCTCCAGCACCTGTATTCAGGAACCTATGCCAGGATCCTGTTTGTGGACCAGCTCTGCTAAAGGACAGGACATGAATACGCAATCAACTATAGTCAGTACTTATTCTCATGGCTTGTTGGGTTAAAGAATAAAAAGGTCTGGAGAACAATTTTACCTAGAATTAATTGAAATAAAAATAAAAGTATTTTAAATCCTGAAATGGAAAACAGAAAAGCCCATATGTAAATGCTCAAATCAAATTTGAATTCTGGTTAAAATCATCCTTTATGTTACAAGATGTACCAATAGAGATATTTGTGCTTACTTGTTAAGGAAGGTACTTACTTCTTGTGCTTTATTTTAATATCCTGATGTCTTACACTTTAAGTACTGCAATATTATCATATGTATTGAATAGAATAACAGCTAATTTCTGATGAAAGATTATGAAAACAAAACAGTAATCATGATACACAATTGCAATATGTCAATTTAAATCATGTATTAATAAATCACAGTTGACTTTCCAAAATCACCACAGGCTCTGGTGTCCCTTTTCGAGTGATGCAGGGACACTTCACCCTGTTAAAGAGAAAAAAGACAAATAAAACATTTGGTTTAGTGTTCTGTACAGGATGTGGGGATACTAATGAGCTAAAAGCTAGTGAGTTTTCTCACTGCTAGCAACTTCATTATTGCTATCTCTAGCAGCTGTGTTTACAGTAATGACCCAATGTCTCTAAATGTATTCAGGGTGCAAATACTTCACAGATTATTATAGAAATAACACATATTCTGTTATTGTTTTACTGACAGTTGTGATCCTTTCATCGTTAATTTAATCATAAAAACATCTTAAATGCATCAAGTTTTTCTGTAAGGAGACAGTATTAGGATCTCACCTTTCTCTCTTATGCATCTGTTGAATAGTTTCAGGTAGAGGTCGGCCGAAACTCTCTGGTAGGAAGAGTATGGCAAAGGCCGACACAACGCCCAGAGTCCCCAGTATAATATATGGCAGGTACTTAAAGTATACTCCCTGTAGGAGGTGAAGGGAGAATTAGGATGGGAGGGAGGCATGTCTGTACTGTACATATGATACTGTATGACAGAAATGGAAAGACCTCACCTCCTACGTCAACAAAATAAGTACTTTTAAAGTTTAAGACCAGTTCACTCACTTAGCTGAAACAAAAAAGGTACAATGCAGGAGCCCACTCTGGAAAATGTAGCGCATGTCCCTGTCGCTGTGTTCCTGAGCACTGTTGGGTAAAGCTCTGCTGTGTAGGCAAATATCATGGAGGCACTGGTGGTGAAGCCATATTTACCCAGCATCTCCAGGGCAACAGACAACTCTGGTAAATCTGAAATACATGGAAAATAGTTTATCTCAAAAATAGAATAGGATGATTCATGCATTCGAGTCCAAGTTAGCAAGGATACAGTAAAACTGCACCGTGATTGTTCAGTTATGGAAATGGGGTTCACTGTTTAAAATATGAAAGCCAGCTCTTGTAGTCGTTTTTCATGGTGTATTCCTTTAACCATCAATGGACTATATGAGTCTATTTTGGGTGATTGCAGATTGGCATTCCGTTCAATCATAAAAGGTAGAACGCTTTGGCCACTTTTTGGGCACGACAAATATTATTTAGGTATAAGTCAAAGTAAAACATACACCCCTATAGGGGCTCAATAAAGGAACATCTTCTCTGTGACTTTGACTTTTCTAAATAAAAAGTATCCACCATCTGACAAAATAATACTACAAGGACAATTTTTATTGAGTGATTCATTTTCGCTACTTACTTTCAGGCACCAGCTGAATGAAGAACAGGGACACTCCCCCCAGGAGCATCGCACAGCTGGTAGAAGGTCGCCGTGGAAAGTACTGCAGTGCCAACCAGCTTGAAATGTACCCCGGCACCTCTACAGCTGCTGAGATAAAACAGCTGATATAGGGGTCAGCACTGAGTTGTGATGAGTTCAGGGACAGGCCATAATATCCAATAACAATAGTGAACCTATGCAAGATACAGAGAGCAGAGATATTGAGGATGGGACATAAGTCGGACACAGTAGAGTAGTGGTTGACAACGACATGACTGCATTTACAACCTGCTTGTCATATGTGAACTGTAAACTGTATTTGGGTGCGGGTGTTTTTACATTTTTATGATACATATTTGTCAATGGGGATACATTTGGGGTCCTTCAGATGTCTGTATCATCATGACAATCAGTGCCCAACCTTATTTACGGTCCAGTGGCTGCATCGCAGTAAAGCCCTGCAGCTACGTTCTGAAATATAGTGGATATCCTTCACAGAGGCAGTGGCGGTTCTATCTTGAATGACACCCTGGGCGAGACCCCCTTCAAGCTATTTTATTTAGCCATTTCACACAATTCAGAAAAACAAAAATGTGCATTAACTATAGGCCTTTATTTATTATATTATGAATGAAATGTGCGTTATTTGGAAGAAAGTCGAGGTGTGACTGACTTACAGTGGATCCCCGTTCCCCTCCTTGTCCGTTCCATTAGGGAGACCCAGAGGTGAACTGTCCCCCGCCCCCTTACCCTTCTCACACAGCTTCTGTGCATGGCACCTTCTCAGCAAGCAGGGGCCCTTGCAGCTGTAGGGGGCGCCAATTTGCCAATTCCCCACACAGTGATATATGATAGAACAGATGGATAATAGAAAACCGCTTTGCTCGTGCCGCCCCCCATGTGTCATGAAAAAATGCTGCCCTGGGCGGCTGCCCACTTCACCTATGACCAAAACCGCTACTGCACAGAGGAGTGGAGGATGTTTTAGCAAGCAGATCGACAATTATATAGGAGGATAAGTGCTTGAGTGTCCACATACTTTTGGCCATACTTAATTCAAACTAACATATACTACAATGTGTGTAAACGTGTAGTACATTCTCAGACTCACCACACCATGCAGAGAATGAGTGTTGTGGCTCTGATGTTGCTGGATCTTATCAGATCAAAGACACTGTGCCGTTCCTCTTTTGTAGATGGTGTCTTTTTCTCACCACGCTGTAAGATACAAAACCTGTCTCTCAACTTGCTGTGTTTTTTTTTCCTATGTTAGGGTGGTTTTGACTGAAGCCATTTACTTGTAACAGGGCTGAATAAAATCTCTGAATTATCCTACAGCGAATTCAGATAAAGTAATGGAATGTTAAAGGACAACTGTGAAGGATTTAGTGGCATCTAGTGAAGAAGTGACTGATTTAATAAGATAGTCTGGTACCCATATGAACATTAAAACAGATTTTGCTTGGTGTAATCTTTTTTTTCTGTAATTTTCTCCTGTTTATACTGGCTATTGAAATATCCTTCCCTTAACTATTTCCCCAGTGTTTCCTTACTCAGCTGCAGTGGAGGTACTACAAATACAGTAACTTTGGAAAATAACAACTTCAGACTAATGAAGCCTCATATTAGTGTAGTATAAAATTTAGTGTAGGTTAGTGCATATTATAAGTTAGTAATCAAGTAATCACACAAAAGTTTGGATATTATGTTGTAAGCACTATAGTTTGTTCACACATAACTGGAAATCAAGTAGAGAGCAATATGTTTTAAGTAATGATGATTTTGAGTGTTAAGTAGAATAGATTTTATATAAGCTCACAATGATGTTAATGAAGGCATTATGTTTTAAGTAAAGATGATTTCATGATAAGCACAAATACTGTTGATGAAGTAGTAAGCACCATTGTTTTTAGTAAAAGTTTGATTTAATGTGTGAAACATATAGAATGTAGTTGTAGCAAAAACAAGCAATGATTATACCAAATGTATGTGTGTGAGTGTAACACAAGTTTCTTATCATATTAGAAAGTTTATAAAGTTTTTTAAAAATACAGTAAAATACATCTGTGACATAATGGTGTAATAAAAAGGTAATAAATGGTTTTAAAAAATAGAAGTACAGCAAACTAGATTCTAATGGTGTAATCCTGATGAAAGGAGAGTAAAAAGAAAATGTCATGGCCTACTAGTGTAGGCCATGAAGCCTGCGGGTTCTATGATAGGAACATAGGCCCGACGGGTGCTGGATAATGAGGCGAGCAAGACACCAGTAGAATGGAGCATGGGCCCAACAGGTGCAGGATAATTGGGCTGATAAGACACTAGTAGAACCGAAAAACCACAGGTTGGTGGAATTTTAGGGTCTTTGCAGAGTGGAATTTACACCATTATGTCATGGGTTTAAAAGGTAGAAGATGGGCAGGACTTGTGACACTTGTGTGCAAGAGTATATAAGGAAAAGCTTTGTGAGGTTGAATTCAGTCTTTCCATGGTAGTTCGGGCTTTGTTTGTCTGTCAAGATAATAAAGCTCAAATCTACTGCCAACTTTGATGAATCCTGATTGTTAGTTTTCCCCCTGAAGGAGAATAACTTTTAAACCTAATTTGGATTTAGAATTTGTGATGTTGGTCATAATCTTCTGATCAAAAAGAAAACTTGTTTAGACCGAGACCCAACATTAGCTTTGGAAAAAAATATAAAAAATATTGTATTTATTTTTATGCTGTAACCTCTGCAACTGGTCCAACTTACACTGTAGTTTTGAAAGATGATCTGTGGGGCCTCAACTTTGTTCTTCTTTGCAGCATTTCTAATTATGGCCTCAGCCTCCTCCACTCTTCCCTGAGAGAGCAACCACCGAGGAGACTCTGGAATGAACCTGCCACAGTATTCACACAGGGACAGATAGGTTACAGACTAAATCAACTTTAGACTGGTCTGTAGTCTTAGGCCAGTTTTATTTTTGCTTTTAGACAGTTTCACAGAAATGAAGATAAAAAGTTAGCCACCTGCCCCGCGGTTTACTTAGAACTAAGAGCTTCCTGACGGCACCCTGACTCTCATGCTCAGCTCTCTCCTGTACTTCCTATTCACACATGACTGCGTGTGCATTTCCTGGCTACAACCTGCTCTCATTACCTGCTCTCATCATGCATATACATTTCCTGTTTACATTACAGTTTATTATAACATTAATTTACAGCTGCCACACTATTATATATATTTTTATTATATTTTTTTCCTTTTAACTTCTGCACTATGTTATGTCCTTATGTCTTAGATTTAAATTATGACCTATGTGATTTTGTTTTTATAAAATTTTTTATGAATATTGTTGGAGGGCCCCTGAGAACTAAGAATTTAATTGATAATGAATGCTTCACTGTAATTGTGCATATGATGATAAAGACCTTGAAACACATTATCATTATTATTATCATTCAAAAAAAACTAAATGCTTCTGTAGCTCAGTCTCTATGAGTAATGGGTGTCATCTTTACATAATGTGATGTGATAAGTACAACTCACCACCAGAGAGGGATATAGAGCAGGCCAGATAGAGCAATAGCCAACAGCAGAGATTTCCAGTCCGTTAAAAAGTAAGCCATGAGTGGGAGCATCATGTAGCCCATTGCAAAACACAGACACACACCCAGTGATGAAAACAGGACCCGCACATTGCCAGTCAAGATCTCCGTTCCTGCAGAGAGAGAGAAAAACAAAGAGAGGGATATGTATGTAAGTTAAATCAGATAAACTGAATGTAGAGCAAATGTGCCAATAGTTACAGGAGGTTATTATATGTACCCAGCACGAAAGCAGATATGTAGTTGCCGATCTGTCCCAAACCACTGAAAAAGAGGAGGATGGAGAACACCGTCCATGTAGGGGAGAAGACTTGAGCAAAGGTAAAAATTGTCTGACATGCCATGGTTGCAAAAAATACAGGCTTCCTTCCATATCTATATTGGGGAGACCAACAATAGGACCAAGAAAGACAATGATATATGAGAAGCTGGAACCACAAATCTGCTTAAAAGGTTACCTAAAGGATTTCTATAGAACATATTTCTACCAGTCTATGTTTATATCTGATTTAAGATGTAAGACAGTTAACTGCAAATATAGTTAAGATAATTTTAGTAAGTAAATACTGTTTCTTCATCATTAACACAGAATAAACAAAAAGGACTTCCAAACAGAAGGTTGACAGGTGTGAAAGCTCAAACTGGTTCATGAGTATTTAAATTACACAACAGTGAAGGGCATATTTCTTGTTCAGGATAAAACATTTGTTATTTGCTTTCTTTCAGAATAAAGTACAAAAGCACATATTTATAATGATAAAAATACTAAAAAACATTTTGTCAACAAAAGTTAACAACTATATAGGTGAGTTTTTAGTTTTTATATCCTATGGTTATTTTCTACTTCATCGTCTAGGAGATAACTAAATAAATAGGTACAAAAGTCACATTTCAAAGCACTACATATATGCATCCCACTGAGCTTGCATTATCAGTACCTGTCTGAAAGCTGTCCTGAGAAGAAGGATCCAACAAGAACTCCTAGAAAGTAAAGTGTGGACGTGAATGGCTGCTTCCACTGCTCACTACACACCAGGTCAAACTGGAATAGCAATTCATTAAACAGATATTTAGAAATAATAAAAGCACAAAAAAAGTCACAAAAATCTTTCAAAGAATATTGAAAAAAATTAAATACATTGATGAGAGGGATATCCTTCCTCACTCTCCTACCTCAGAGACTATGGTGGACTGGTAGATGTCTCTGCTGTAGCTCCACCCATGCACACATCCCTCCTGCTCCAGGTCCGTGAGGTTGACGTCTCTGCCAGGAATGAGTCCCTGAGCAGAGAGATTCCTGACCACATCTAGCCTGTATCTGCTGCATCTGCTCAGCTCCTGTTTCCCATTCACCACCTCACAGTCACAATGACACACATTTTATTGGTACTACTGAGGAATTTAATTTGAATAACAACACAAAAGCATCAGCATGCAAGTGTTTCATTATATTGTGAAAATTAGCTGCAGACAACAGCTCAATATGTGACATGGCCATTAACTTGGATGTTACTGCCTATAAATAAACTTAAAGATATATGTGGTCATACCACTTTTTATGTAGACTTATAAGTTGATTAAAACAGCAGACATAAGCAGGAGTACAAAATAACATGAAATGGTACCATAGAATCTGTAAAGTCTAAATTAATGCAGGAATCAAGTCAGGACAGGAATACATGAAAAAAAAAAAAGTTTATTTCCTCACTTTTACTTCAAAACATACTTTATTTTTCGGATCCTACTGAATGCAAATGTCACAATGTATCCACTGTTGAAAATGCCTGTAAGAATAGTAAAGGAATAATTAAGACATACTGTCCCATAAAGAATTCACTATAAATGTGCTGGTGGCAAATAAGTGAGCAATCTATTTGTCCAAAGTTGTAATCAACACTTTTCTGACAGTTGTACACTGATTTACCTTTATTGGGATGATGACATTCAGCCAGTCTTGGGTCACGTTCACCTCTGGAATCATGCAGTGGTGACTGGGAATGTCAGCCACGAAGACGATGGATAAAACTCCGGATCCATTGGGGATGGTGCTGGCACAGAGCAGGAAGAAGACAATCTGCTGGAAAAGTCCCCAGTGACCCAGGAAGGCTGTGGTTTCATCATAATTATACATAATCTCAAAATTCTCTTCTTTGTAACACCTCCGTCTTCTATGTCTTCCTGCAAATGTGTCTTATCTACAGTCTGTATATGTGCAGTTGACTATGCCCTATTGTGCTAGTAAAAATTCATTATAGCTTTAAACACATTACAACACAAATTGTTATCAAATCTTTTATTATTATACACACATTGAACTTTGTTCCTGCAGAGACAGAGAGAAATACAAAGGAAGGGAGATACAATGGTCAGGAGCTCCACTCTCAAGGTTGTGTGTAACATTTAGGGAGATCTATTGACTATAATATTCATAGATATGTTTTTATTGTATTGTTGTATAATCACCTGAATATATATAATATATATAATATAATAGTTTTCATTACGCGGGTCACGGCCCGCCATGTTGAACCACCATGTTTCTACAGTAGCCCAGAAAAACCAAACACTGGTTGTAGATAGGGCCTTTTCCCCGAGTTTTGCAGCCACCATCCTTTCTCCTACACACTTTACAGCCTGTTTTCATTTCCAGGTAAACACATACAGACGCCAGTGGTGTTAAGTTAATCTTTAACTTCACTGGTAGATGCCACTAAATCCTACACAATGGTCCTTTCCGTTCCCCCACATATATTATATTATTAGCCATATGTTGTGCACTGATTTAAAGAAAGAGAAGGGAGACTGAAAGAAAGAATGAGGAAGAGAGTCTTGGCTATCCATTATACCACTAGTCACCCATGCTCTACTAATAGAGTTAATCTACACTACACTGTAGCAACTCCCTTTCTTTTTCTACCTTTTCTCTTTTCCTTCTTTTTCTCATCTTCCTTTCTCAGTCTCTCTTTTTCCCCCTCTTTCTTTATGCAACAGTGATGTTTGCTGTAAAAAGAACGATCCGTTTGTTCTTGTCTCTTACTGTCTTGTCTTCATTTATATCGATCAGCTGCAATTTAAACCAACATACATCTCCTGAACCAGAGGCACAATTCCATCAAAACTACAGGTATGTTGAAATAATAGTATTTATTAGTTCAAAAAAATTTGTTTAATAGTAGTAACTACTGTTTGTGCTTGAAGCAGCATCGATTCCAAGTATTTGCACTGACATACAATATATGACTACCCAGCTAAATTGCTTAGTAACATGTTATTGTAATCTCGCAATAATATTTTGTAGTTGTAGCTTAAATTATTAAATAACAAAAAAAAGCAATTAGAACTACTTTATTAATCCTACAACTACCTGAGTTGCAGTTATAACTTATCCTGCTGCGCATATAAATTCTACCAGTACAGTCCCATTACAGGCACTAACCACTTTTAATTCTGTGTCAGTTAACCATAATTGAGGCCCTCCAGGAGCTGACCATGGAAACTCCACCAAAAGCACAGCGAGTGAAGCCAGTGGTATCTGGTCTCTGCAAAGTCCCGCTCCTCTTTCTGCTCCTGTACCTCTTTGTGTGCTCCCTTGACATTTTAAGCTCTGCATTCCAACTAGCTGGGGGTAAGTAGTCTCATCAATGTCCTTCATCAACTTTATCCTCATCAACATTTTAAAATTGGCAGTGCTCACACTAACTCACATTGTCACATTGTCATTTATACATTATAAAATATATCAATATGCGTAGTATTATGGACATGTAATTGTATGTTTTATTTTGCTGTAATGGCTTCTAAGCTTGATTTAAATATCAAATGATCTGTCTCTTTGTCTTTCCCTTCCAGGCAGGGTAGCAGGTGACATCTTCCAGAAAAATGCCATCCTGTCTAACCCAGTGGCAGGGCTGGTGGTGGGAATACTGGTGACAGTGTTAGTCCAGAGCTCCTCCACCTCTACCTCCATCATAGTCAGCCTCGTCTCTTCTGGCTGTGAGTTATCAGCATCTAACAATTTAACAACAGTGTTATTTACATACACTTAAACATGAAACCAGCACTTTGACAAGACACGGTCAACAGAATACCACATTTCACATTCCTCCTAAATTTATATGTACAGACTTTGTCCAATTATGTCTCTCTGTACAGTGCTGGATGTTCAGTCAGCCATTCCTATCATCATGGGCTCCAACATCGGAACATCAGTCACCAATACCATCGTTGCTCTGATGCAGGCTGGGGAGAGAGATGAGTTTGAAAGGTACAGCTGTGTGTGTATTTGCCATGTACATGTTTATAGGTATGTTCATTTAAAAAAAATATCTGAAACTGTTTGTTTGCTTATTTGTTTATTCCAGGGCATTTGCTGGAGCTACAGTCCACGACTGTTTTAACTGGTTGTCTGTTTTGGTGCTTCTCCCTCTGGAAGCTGTGAGTGGGCTGTTGAGGCAACTGTCACAGGCCGTGGTTGACACACTACAGCTCAGTACTGGAGAAGAAGCTCCTGAACTTCTTAAAGTTATCACTGAGCCACTCACTAAGATGATTATCCAGGTACTGTTGGCATATTTCCACAAGCACAGGAAATGTTTATTTTACAATTCAAGCGAGTGAGGGGCAGAGACAATGAAAACAGTCAATAGGAACTCTCAAGTCTAATAAAAAGCATTAGCTTTAATAGTAAACATTATCTCCTTTAATTGAACTGGTGGAAAATGGAATTTGCACACCCCAACCAAGTAGAGAAAATAGAGAGAAAGAGGTACCTCATGAAAAATAGATCTATTTAATAGATTTTGCATAATTATTCCACATCAAACAGTTACCTATTATAAAGACTTTGCATAATTATTCCACATCAAACTGTTACCTATTATTATAAAGATTTTGCACAATTAAACAAGGAAACGGTGCTCAGGGGCACAAGATGGAAAAAAATGTCAGACAGCAGAACAAAGCAGCTTAGGAGCAATAAAATCAAGACACCTTTCTCAGGTGTATCATTTTATAGTTTATCATGAGAACAGACTGTTGGCAGCAATAAAATGTAATTCTAATAAACTGTAATATAATGGCATTACATGATTATCTCTGTGTAGCTGGATCAGTCAGTCATTACAGCCATTGCTACAGGAGACCAGAGTGTGAGGAACAAGAGTCTGGTGAAGCAATGGTGTCAAACCACAACTGTGAAGGTACTGCTACCATACAATATGTCCCATATGATGTCATTACTGCCCTAATTCTTCTTGTGTTCCGTTCCCTGAGTGAAATACGTATTTGTCTCACTTTTAGTTTGTGTTAGTTAGTTTACAAAACTGCCCAAGACCAGGTGGGTTATGCGCATCATGCTCATGTATTAGATGTACAAAAGTAGGACTTGTGTAGTTACTAATGTCACTGCTATATAGGTTACATTTTGAAACTGTCCTACTATCTCTTTGCCTCAGTCTGTGCTCTACCTGCTTATCATTGCTGACAGGACAATGCAACATCTTGGGGAGCACACAACTTTTCAGAACATTCACAGAAATGTATGTCATTTTTGTCAGTTTTTAAGTATTTCTGTGATTTTAAGTCTGTGATAGAATACTGTCCCTCCTTTTTTACCCCCTTCCACTTGTGTGTTCAATCACTAGATTTGCCTTCTGCATCAATCATTAACATGCACTGTAAATGAAACACGCTGATTCAACGTTTAACGTTTTCTCAGTTATTCTCAAACAATTGGGGATTCAATTTAGTTTTTCGCTTCAACAATCTTGTTTTCTGCATCTGTATCTCTCTGCCCAGGTAGGCATCTCTTTGTGGACTGCTCTTTGTCAGACTTGGCCATAGGTCTGATCCTCCTGGCTTGCTCCCTTGTGGTGATGTGCAGCTGTCTGATACTCCTGGTTAAACTGCTCAACTCTCTCCTGAAGGGCCAGTTGGCCAGTGCCATTAATAAAGTTGTTAATACAGGTGATATTATACAGTAGGAGTATTAAAGCCATTTTCCTAAATACACACAGCTAAACCCATAGTTTTTTAAAATTGAACCTTAATTTCAACAATGACAATGTGCAGAGGACACATCCATGCTCTGTCTTATTCCTTCCTGTCCTGTAGATTTCCCCTTCCCTTTCACCTGGCTGGCAGGTTATCTGGCTGTATTAGTGGGAGCAGGCATGACCGTTTTGGTTCAGAGTAGTTCGGTCTTCACCTCTGCTATCACCCCTCTCGTAGGTAATGCTCACATACACACACACACAAAAAAAATCCAATATCATGTGTCAAAAGATTTTTATGCCTACAAAACCAAACTGCACTCATTTGTAATAGTGTTTTCCTATACAGTTCAGAAAATGAACAATGTCTTTACTAATTTATTATTTAGTATATGTATATTACACATGGAAATAGGCTGTTTGTAACAGGAAATCTAGCAATATTCTCCTCTGTTGCTGTCCTTTTCAAAAATTAATAAATTACCATCTCAATGTTTTTACAGGAGTTACTTTCCTGCAACCTTGATTCAGTACGGCATTAACAAGACTGTAGCAGATAATAGTTAAGCATGTTTGTTAAAAATCCTCCAATTCTTCACTTCTTATATTATGCCATCAGCTGTAAAATGCTTACAAAAAAACAGACTGGGATTACTTTTAGAATATTTTTGAACATTTTAAAATGTTTGCATGGACCCGGTTAGGCCCATTATGGTTTTACATTTTCTGCCTTTTAACAACTCTTGTCCTGAAGCATGACATAGCTTTTTTCTTTGCCCCCTAGACTTTGTAACAACCCCCAATGAAAGCTAGGTTACCCATTGACATCTTAAAGTCCTATTTTGATCTTTCAGTTGGACTCTTACTCATGTGTTTTACCTGACTGTAGCTAATACCGTTGATCTGTTATTTAGTCATTTGTGTTTTTTATGTGATAAATGCAGAAGCAGAGCTATTGTAGCTTTTCTTAATCAAACTATACAATACTATGAACCCTCAGGGATTGGTGTGATCAGTATTGAAAGAGCCTACCCTTTAACCCTGGGGTCCAACCTCGGAACCACTACAACAGCTACACTGGCAGCCCTGGCTAGTCCGGGAGATAAGCTTGTTGCTGCCACACAGGTACACACACACACACACACACACACACACACACACACACACACACACACACACACACACACACACACACACACAAAATATATACTTTCATGACTGTTTACTTTGTTTACTACATTACTGTACAACCTGTCTGCCTTTTATATATATTCTATTTTATTCCTATATATTATACTTTTTAACTTTGGCACTATCCAAAAAATAAATAAATCAAAAGCAGTAACACTCTCCATGGTGCTGTAACATTCAAAACCAGTCTCCCATTCAAAAGTAACTAAGCATTGAATTAGGGCTTCTCTTTATATGTCTCTCTATGGTGCTAAAATTTTCAAACAGAAATGTGTGTGGTTAGCCGCACCTTCAAAAACCCTACAACATCTGACGAAAAACCAAAGCAATCCAAAACACTGAAGTTCTTTGAAAGAGACAAACAGCATAAACCTGCCTGGACAAGATTTGACTAAATGAAATATGATTGGGTTTTGTACTGTTGGTCAGACAAATCAAGACATTTGAAGACATCACCATGTGCTCATGGGTTTTGATGGGTTATGATTAATCAGTTAATAGAGAAAATAATCATTAAGGAAAATAAGTTGGAGCCCTACACGGCCATCGCAATGTTTCTCAAAGAACTGTATCTATCAGTTATTCATGTGTTTACTGGGATTTGTTTTCTGTCATAAAGGTTCTATCTCCTCTCAACCTGTTGGACTCACTCTTCTGTAGTTTTCCCTTTGTCTCACTTATATGCTGACATCTTTTATGATCACCTTCTCTTTTGTTTCAGGTTGCCTTATGTCACTTTTTCTTTAACCTCCTTGGTATCTTGCTATGGTACCCCATACCAGCCACCCGCTTACCCATACGTATGGCCTGTGCCCTTGGCAAACGCACTGCCAGGTACTATTAGCAATAGTTACACAAACAAAATGCCAAAAGGATGGTGATGCTGAACCATCAAAGAAAATCTAAATATTCTAATACTAACTCACACATACACAGGTATCGCTGGTTTGCTGTTTTGTACCTTCTCCTCTGCTTCCTGCTACTCCCATCCCTCGTGTTTGCCCTCTCCATGGCTGGGTGGAAGGTGATGACTGGGATTGGTGTACCAGTCATTATGGTGACTATATCTGCTGCAACTGTGAACATGCTCCAGGCACGTAGACCGGGTTGTTTGCCGCTTAGACTGCAGAACTGGGACTTTCTTCCTGTTTGGATGACCTCGCTGCAGCCCCTGGATGACCTCATCACCAGAGCGATCCTGTTGTGCAGGCAGTGGAGGGGTAAATATCGTAATTGAGAATTTTAAACTTAATTTGTTATTTGACTGTACCATTTATCCTATTTCTACTCTTTCACTCTTGGCTACTATTTTGATACAACTCAACCACCTTATTTTTGTTGTTGTTTGCATTATGACACCTGTATGTACCTCTTCCTGGTTTGCTGTTCCTGAGAGGCTGACTCTGTCCTTGGTGTTTTGTTCCTAGGTTGGAATGATGGCCAGGTAACATCACTGGAGGGCATTACTGTCATCCCTGAGAGAAAAGTCAGGGAGAAATGTCAGCAGAGTGGGGATGGACAGGAGATTGATAAGAGCTGGCAGAAACAAAGAGGACTGGACAAACATGGATGTTGTAATCTACAATACAACCAGGAAAAAAACAACAGAGACAACACAGCAACCAACATGTATTCAGAGAACAATATATTTAACTTGGCTGCACAGAGCTCCATAAACATGAACTTAAACAATCAGGGTGCTCTGCTGAGTAGCACCCAATTGTAGTGCTACTATCTCATGTTTAAGGTTTGCCAGACGTTACATGTATTTAAAGACCTGTAAGGATGTCATGGCTAAAAAATAGCATATTGGTGTCTTACCACCATACAGAGAGATAATTATTAACAGGGTAGCTTTTATTTTACACAACTGTTGCAAGACTTTAACAGTGATAAGAAGTTATATCCAGTATACTGTATGTTGCAACCGTAGCAAAGATTTTTCAACATGGATGATAAACATACTAAATAATTGCTTGAAGTTTAACATGACTTTGTTTAAAAATTAAATAAATCTCTGGTGGAAAAAGTATGCAAAAGCAGTAATGTGCTGTTAGTGGCTCTGTAGCTGTCAGCGGCCTTAAACGCACTTGTAGGTTAGCTTGCAGTTTGCAGTGCTTTTTCTGTAAATGATAAACTTTACTGGCTCATATGAACAGTTGTGTTTAGCTGTGAGAGTCAGACTTTCAAAGATTGAGACTGAGACAGAGAGAAAGGAAAAAATATTGTGGTTTTTAACTGTCAGATTAATTTAACGTGCTGCAATGTGTGACGCATGTAAGAAAGTCTTTTTTTATTCAGCTTTTATTGCTCTGCAGATGTACTGTATAGAGAAACAGTGCTTGTGCTCGTGAGACATTTCCATAGTTGTTCACAGGGGATCACATTCTTCTTGGTGTAATGGTCTTCACTTTTGTATTATATAACTATAGTTGTACAGTAGTTTATGGAATATGGTGCTGACAACTTAAAAACCTTACTAACTACTATAGTTTCACCAAGCTGATAAAATGTACTGTAGCATGACACCAAAACAACTACAACAGGCTCAGGGGCCAAATTAAAACACCAAAGTACTTATTAGAGGTCTATTCAATTCAATACAACAGCTGTTACAGCTCTGTTATAAATTCTACCATACTTAAGTTTATAATGTTCAGTTTTCGTTGACATTGTTCAAATGTGTAAATTCAATCTGAGAGTACTATTTACATATATGAGGTGGGACAGATTATTAGGAACACCTCAATATAATGTAGCACAGCACCACAAATAACCATGACCTCAATGATTAATTATATAATTGAATTAACACCTTTATTACAGTGTTAACAAAACATGGCTACGGCCCATACTGGCTGATACTACATACTTATTAAATAAAAAGTTTAAACATTATAGCCTGATATCAGAATGTATTCTATGGTAGCTGATTACTTGCTTTTATGGTCGTACTCTTCCAAATATGTTGTAACTGCATTTAAAAAATGTTGCCATCCAGACTGGAACATCTGGCATAATAATTAGAAAATACAATTTTTTTGCACCAAATGTCCAAAAAATTGGCTTTTTTTTTCACACTTTAGAAACCATAGTTTATGACAGCACTCTTTATCTGTATACTGTTATATATGAGATTTTCAGTAAGTTTAGAACTGCCAAAACAGTGAATCATGCAGGTTGTGGGTAGCAACACGATAACCGCTTCCTTGACTCTTCTCACATAACCAGACAACAAAGTCAAGAGCACAAACCAGCCTTCTGTCAGTGGAAAATTCACAGGTCAGCCTTAAACAGCCACAAAGACATCGCAACATTGTGAAGGTGGTGAGTGACAGTTTTCTGTTTTACTCCTACAGTGTTTATTTTATAAGTTTAGTTTGTAGCGAGTATATAAATTCTGATCCCTTTTCTCAAATCTGTCAAGGTTCAAGGTTACTTTATTTGTACCCAAAGGGAGATTTGATTTACAGTAAAAGGCACTCCTCTTGACAAAATATAAAATCAACTATGAAGTCAATTATGAACATAGATATTCCATACATGATATTCCTACGGTTTACTCCAAATTACTAACTAGCGGTACATTTACAATTCAATTGATTTATGTGCAACTACAGAAAAACAATGATTTCCATCTATATGATCTTCACCACTCTGGCAACAACCGCTCTGACAAAAGGTAAATTTAAGTGTAAAAGTGAAATTATTTGTGCCTAGCATTTCAGTAGAAATTTTTTATCTGTAATTCACATTATGCATTTTATCTTTTTGTTGGTTTTAGGGTCTATTGAATGCAAATTCTCTGAACCTAATGGAGCTCTGTGTTTTGGGGCAATTGGACAGCAGTTGCTTTTTCATCTGCCAAATACACCAAATACAGCAATTATGTTAAGAAAGGATACTAAATATGTAATTTTAAAAACAGGAAAAACTGTGACTATGGATAAGAAATATGTGAATCAGCCTGAACTCTTCTCCAATGGAACATTCAAACTAGGTAACGCAATGAAGAACAATTTGGATCTGATGGTGTTTCACTGAGAAAAGTCAGAGTGCATCTTGAAATACAAGGTAGGTAAATATACATATAAAGCAGGAATTAAAGCAGACATTTTAAAGTTTAAAGTAAAATACATGTTAACATAAGACATTTAAACTGAAAGTGCAGATATCCGAACACATAGATTCATGCAGCACATCACTTTATTTGTGATAAATAAACACTTTATTTGTGATAAATAAAGTGATACATTAGATATGGTGTGTGGAGAACTTCACTTTCAGTTCGGACACGTTGATGCTTACAGGACCGTAGCAAATATTTTTCCGGGTGGAGCGCTATATAAATATAATTATATGTCAGCACTCTTGATCCGTGTAGTGATAAGAATCATATAACATCCTGCCATATAATTGATAATTGTCTTTTAAAAAAGGTAAACTGTAAATATGGAATGACAGGATAATATGAAATGAAACAACAAACAATTGCACAAACATCACATACATTATTCATTATCTCTTATACTTGTGTATTTCATAATGTCTGCAAAATAATTTTTCTGTGCCATTTTGGTTTTATGCAGTGGAAACAGACAGGGAACAAAGGATGAGAGGGTAAAAAATATGAATTTGAATAGGTCATGGCTCCATATTCAATAGAGCCAGTAGCGGATTTTACTTTGCATTTTGTACTATGTTTCTCTATGTTTGTCTTCCAGCTCTGCTGTCAAAGCCAGCTGTTTCTCAGATGTGTGTGTCACCAGAACAGATGAGTGTCAGCTGCTCCTCTGAGGGAGATGGAGTAGAGTTCATTTTGACCTTAGACGGTCTCTTACTGATGCAGACCAGAGGTCGCTGCCAGCCACTGAGCAGCTCGACAGCAAACATGCTGCCAGTTGCTGGGAATAAAACTGAAGACAAATCCAATGTTTCACAAGTTACCATCAGTTTATATGGTCAGCTGACAGGAAACTTGATGTGTCGTGTTTCTAACAATATCAGCAGCAATGAAACAGTTATTCACCTGGCAAACTGTAAAGGTACAGTATTTAAAGAAGGATCAACTCCTCACTTTTGCTTCTTTTGCTTTACATTAGCTTCCCTCTGTCATTTCACCTATTTGTGTTACAAATAACTTAAATGTATTTAGCCACCTATCTGGGTCAGGGTTACAGTGCCAGAGAAGACCCCACATGTCCCTTGTAATCCAAATGATCTAGTTTGACAACATTGATCTTGATTGATTGATCTTTGACCAAACCACCCAGACTAGCTCCACTCACGTAAAATAGGTGGGACAGCTTTTAATAACAACAATCTCTGATTTGTTCTTTTTTTTGCAGTGAATATTGAGGCACTATTGTGGAATCTGATATTTGTTTGTGTTCTCTAGCTTCCACTTCTCACTTCTCTGCTATGGCTGTGAGAGCTAGTGTTTTCACTCTGCTTCTCTTGGCTTTGTGTCTTGGTGTCTGCCATGTACACAAGAAAACAAGACCTATGACTGTTAAAGAAGAGACATAAGGTAAGAGAACAGAACTTCAACAATAGCTACTGTTGGTATAGTCTTATTTTAGTGTCTTGTTATATTGTTGCTGGTCCTGTTTGTTATGTATTTGGATGGAGGATAATGAGGTCACGAATAGGCTGAAACAACACAGACTGCACCAGTTTCTCTCTCCTTCACACACACACACACACACACACACACACACACACACACACACACACATACACACACACGTATTTATCACTGCTGCTACTGTTTTATGTTAGTATTACAACTAACATTAACTCTATGAAGAAGACACTTGGCACCATAGCAACCTCACAGCACTCAACAGCAACCACCTATATACATTAGCAGTGCCCTTGCAACAAACCCAAACAAACTTACAACCACCAAAACACATCAGAAACCACACCACAGAGCCCAGTAAACATTCCTACTACGTGTCACTCTGGTGGTTCTGTCTTTTTTCTCTCTTGCTTGTTTTTTTCTGATTCTCTCTCTCTCTCTCTCTCTCCTCTATCTGTTTTCTCCTGTAGAAGTGGAGCAGCAGAAATCAGCTATACATCAAGGAGGTGGAAGGGAGCGGAGGAGCAGTGTTTGTATTGAGGCACACTCATGTCAGGTCTCTCACATAAAAAATAAAAAATAAAACAAAGTTTGATGAGTTTGTGAAGTTGCACGGGATCATGGGAGTCGTGGTCTTCACCACCATTACCGTCATTGCAGTCAGCTTCTCCCATTTAGGATTCTTTAAGTGTTCATCGTTTAGGAGGTTTCTACCAGGAGCCGAATTATCCACAGATGTCTCCTCCTCTCCAGTGATTAAAACTGATAAAACACTGAATTAAACACATTCACCTTGAAGATTTGTGTTTCTCCAACCATAAACCCAAACAGCAGAATATAATTTATATTTTATTAATTATAATAATTTTATTTTGTCTGTTTGCATAACTCTACATAGCAAAATTTTAATTACACAGCTTGCCCGCCATACCCTGCAACAAAAATTAATAAATGAAGTGTTGGAAAGAAAATGATCATGCTTTCACTGCTTCCAAAGTAGTTTCTCCCCTCTGAGCTGTGTGGTGACCTGTGAAAGAGCACTTGCATTTGAACACTGATGTTATGGGTACTGAAGAATTGGTTTAAGTTAAGGCAGTGCTCTTTTTGTGTTCTGATTATATAACATTCCTTTTATGTTGTTTTTCTTATGAGAATGTAATTCTCAAAAAAGTATGCTAAAGAATGTCCTCTTTATTGCTGCTGTTAAAGAAATGAATGCTTTATACAAAGTTGTTGCTGCCTCTGATGAACTATTCTAACAGTATAGAGCAAAAGATTATGTCTGGAACATTTTGATGTTCCGTAATGATTAGTATGTTGCCACTCTGCCTTATAGTATTGTTGAATGCAATCTGCCTTTACTGCAGAGATGAGTCTCTCCTTGGCCTGTGAAAGTTTCAAGTGAGGCACTGTGACTGAAGAAGCAACAGAGAGCTGTGGTTTTCACATAGTTTAATTTGCCTGTGAGGATATCTTGTGATGCAGATGTTTATAAGTAATATGGTATTTAAATAAAACGTGTGGTTATGCAGTACAATGAGGCAGTAAGTGTTCACATCTTGTTTTTTATAGAAATACAACACTTCTCATCCTAAGGCAGGTTTGCAATGTGCTTACAACAGAGTTAAATGAATAATAAAACAACAGCAGGTCTCCATGCACTGGTGTTGTAACAATTCTTTTGTAAATGTGTAAGGTAACTTCTCCCCACATGCCTATATTCATGCCTTAATAAACAAATATTCTGCATTTAAATACATATGTCATTGGAAATGTGTGATAAGCTATGTCCTTTTAATAGTACTTCTCAGATAAACTGATGCCATGTGCCAAAGAAAAATACATTTTACAGTGTCCGTTTGATAAAGGTAACGGATGGTACATTTACAGCTAATGGCTTTTTGTGCAGTTGGTTTTTTTTTACAGTTGAAGTGAAAACTCAAACCTTGGCTAGAATAGTCGTCACTCTAACTAAGGTGAGTTTCCCCGCCTTCTATGTACTTTTTGTTCCTTAATTAGCTTCAGTTGCGCTGCAGTCATATAAGAGGAAGCACAGGTTTTAGCAGTGGCTGTTTCTGAACAGCTTTTGAAGATACTAAAAACACTTTCATTGCTCTGTGGTAGAAAAAAATCACAATTCTTTTAGGTCTAGTGTGTAACATTTAGGAGGATCTATTGGCAGAAATGGAAAATGAAATGAATAGGCATGTTTTCATTAGTGTATAATATAATCACCTGAATATACGAATATAAGAATTCAGTGGAATCTGCCATGTTGAACGGTCATATTTCTGCAGTAACCCAGAGCAGTCAAAACCAACTTTGGCTAGCAAGTTTTGCAGCCAGAGTTGTTTCTGCTACACAACCTGTTCTCATCCCCAGCTGGTCAAATACACATGCCAGTGGTGTTCTGTTAGTTGCAATTTGTAACTCCACCACTAGATGGCACTAACTCTTACACTCGTCCTTTGTATGAGTAGGGAAGTCAATGATCAGTTTGCATGATTATACATTTTACATGCAACATACTTTTTGACAGATATCTTCTTTTTTGACATAATCATATATATATATATAGTGATAGTTTTAGCAAATGTGACTTTTGTATAACAGTCGCCTACTGAAGCTTTAATACAAATAAAAAAAAAAACATTGCTGAATTTAAAACTGACACAAGCGAGGTCACATACATTGTGGAGCTGAGCTTAAAACCTGCATAACCTACAACACAGTTTCATAGAGCTGCTAAAACTGGCTGTGGTGACAAGACTCTATCTCTTAAAGAGACATATTGGCACATCCAATTCACTAAACCTATGATGGTCATTTGTAAACCACCATCTTCATGCAAATACAGTAAAAACAACCTAAAGATTATTTAAAAGTACAAACGTTTTCACATTCAGTTCAGATTTTCAGCTATGTCTTCTTGTTATTCAGTTTCATAATTTAAATGTGTTTCAGAGAACCTGATAATATATACTTGTGTTTTTGATCATGGTCTTCAAATTAATATTTAATATTAAAGAAATAAACAATAAAATGAAACTAGAAAATTCCTAAAGCAATTTTGATTGTGCCTTGCTCTGGCCCGTGACACTGGCCCATACATTACTGACATTGCCGAGTAGTTTACAGTACAATGAGGGGAGACACCCGTGTTTAATTCGGCGTCCGCGTGATCCACTAACAACCACGTATTTTGATGACAAATCTTGTTTTTTCCATCTATTGCCACGGTCTTCTCCCACTGAAATAGTGAGGCTGGTAACGAGTTGATGCGACAAAGTCGGCCAAAAAGTTGGTATTTATGTATTATATTGATGCCGAATTAACAAGAAGACTGTTGAGATATGATGAGTTTTTTCTTGTGTTTCTACAGTTATGTGCTTTTATGTAAGCGCAAATAATTGTTA